TGGCTGATAATCTAGTTTTCTTTTACTTATAAATCACTTGATTTTGTATAACTATTTAAAAGTTTAAAAATTTATATCTTTGAGGTCCAGGAAATTCACCAGATCTTTTGGGGCTGGGAGTTGGTGATTTTGGTATATTCTTTCAACAGATAGTTATCTTTTTTTACCTGAGGACTTTTCTTGCCTGTAGCTCCAGCATTCGTTCTATACCTTTGCTTTGACATTCTCCTCAAGGACTTTTGAGATCCTGTTTGCCTCACTTGGATATTTTGCCACTTTCTCTTGAATCTTTTTTATTTCTTTTTCTTTTAGCAGGACTTGTCCATGTTTTATTTTTTTTTTTTTTGGTACCAGGGATCGAACTCAGGACCTTCCACTTATGAGGCATGTGCGGTGCCACTGAGCTAAACCCCCAGCCCTATGTTTTAATTTTTTATTAGTACGTTTGTAGTATGTGTTTACATTTCTTGTGGAGAAATGTAGTATATATACATAATACAATTTAATTCCTTTTTATCTTTTTTTTTTCTTGGTACTAGGGGTCGAACTTGGGTCCTTGCGCTTGCAAGACAGGCGGCATAATCACTGAGTTAAATCCTTGACCCTTAATTTCTTTTTAAAATCCTCCTTTCCTTCCCTTCCTTCCCCTCCTCCATCTATCTCTTGATATCTCCCCCCACCTTTCATCTAGCTCTCCATCCCCTTCTCCTTTGAGAAAGATCCACCTTCCTACTTCCTATTCTCTTTTGTTTGTTTTTGGTACCGGGGATTGAACTCGGGATCTTGTGCTTGCGCGGCAGGCGCCAGAACCACTGAGCTAAATCCCCAGCCCCTATTCTCTTTTATTTTGATCTTTATTTATACTTTGGGTTTCTCATATAAGAGAAACCATATGATATTTAAGCTTGCGTGCCTGATTTGGTTTCAAAAAGATGCTTTTTTTTTTTTTTGAGACAGGCCTCTCTGTATACTTCAAGCTGGCCTTGAACTCACTGTGTAGCCCAGTCTGACCTCAAACTTGTGGCAATCTTCTTGCCTCGGCCTCTGAGTGCTGGGAGTACAGGTGTGTGCCACCACACCCAGAAAGATGCATCCATTTTCCTACAGTGACTCAAGTTTGTCTTTCTTTACTGCCAAAGTATTACTCCATTGTGTGTAAATACCACATATTCTTTATCCATTCATCTGTTGATGGATATATAGATGGATATATAGGCTGCTTCCAAGATTAGCTATTATGAATTGTGCTGATATAAACCTAGGTATGCATGTATCCCTCTAATATGACACCTTGAACTCTTTCAGGAACATGCCCAGAAGGGGAATAGCTGGACCAAATGGAATTTCAGTTTTAGCTTTTTGAGGAATCTTCATATTGATTTCCAAATTTGTACTAGTTTATGTTCCCACCAGCAGGGTAGAAGGGTTGCTCTTTCCTCCGCAGCCTCCCCAGCATTTATTAATTGATTACTTGATGATAACCATTCTTTCATGACTAAGATGGAATCTTAGTGTTGTGTTAATTTGTATTTCTCTAAACACAAGCAAAGTTGAGCATTTTTTTGTGTGTATTTATTGGCCAGTTGTACTTCTTCTGTGAAGTGGCTATTCATTTTATGCTTTTTTTTTTTTTTTTTTTACCAGGGGTTGAACTTGGGACCTTGTACTTGTGAGGCAGGCAGCGGCACCACTGAGCTAAATCCCTAGGCCAAAAATTTTTATCCTTTTTTTTGGTGGCTATTCATTTTACTTACCCATTTTTTTTCCCCCTCGGTACTGGGATTGAATTCAGGACCTTGCACTTATGAGGCAGTTGCAGTGCCACAGAGCTAAATCCCCGGCCCCACGTGCCCATTTTTTGATTGGGTATTTTATTCTGTGAGAGTGTTAATAATTTTTGAGTTCTTTCTTTATTTTTTATTTTTTATTATTTTATTTTTTTGAGTTCTTTATATATACAGAGTCTGCCAAAAATGTGTATACAGTTGAGGAAAAGAAAAACTTGTAAAGCGCAAGGACCAGAGTTCGATCCCTGGTACCGAAAAAAAAAGAAAAAAAAAAACTTGTATAAATATTTTAATCATAAGATTAATACAAGTTATCTTTGACCTCTACAGTTACAAGAGGTGCTCAAAGTGGTGGCGTGAGCTTCCAGACATATATTATTAGTCCCATGAATTGCTATGTGGGTAACCTTTGTCACTGAGATTATTGCATATGTATTTTCAATTTCTTCTCTAAGGGCTGGCAGTGTAGTGGATTTTCTGTGATATATGACATCTCTAGGGTCCCCCATATGAGAATAATGCCATTTGTTGAAAAACATCATCCTATTTTTCTTTCCCTGAAGTGTGTGTTCATTTTTTGGGCAGACTTTGTATATTCTAGATGTTAGTCTTCTGATGTATAGCTGGCAAAAAATTTTTCCCATTCTGTAGATTGTCTTTTCACTCTATTGGTTGTTTCTTTTGCTGTGTAGAACCGTGTGTGTGCGTGTAGAAGCTTTTTAATTGATGTGATCCTATTTGTTGATTTTTGGTACTATTTGCTTTGCAACCTGGGCTCTGTTCAGGAAGTCCTTGTCTACACTTATGACTTCAATAGTTTTATCTATTTTATTGTCCAGCAGGTTGTTTCTACTTTGACATTTAGTTCTTTGATCCATTCCAAGAGTACCTGGTGAGAGATAGGGGTCTAGATTTAATCTTCTGAATGTGAATAGCCAGTTTTCCAACACCATTTATTAAAGAGGCTCTCTTTCCTCCACTGAGAGTTTTTGGCCCCTTTGTCAAAAATCAAATAGTTCAATGTGCTTGGGGTTGTTTCTGCATCCTCTATTCTGTTCTGTTGATCCTCATGTCTTTTTCTGCCCGTACTCATTATTTTTTAAGAGCTTTGTTGGAGTAACCCTTTACACTTTGTTGGTATTTGTATACCATAAAGTTTACCTACTGTAAGTATGCAATCCAGGGGTTTTTAGTAAGTTTATGGAATTCTGCAGTCATCACCATGGTAGTTTTATATTTCTACAGCCAAAGAAGATCCCTCCAGTGGGTCTCTGTCCATCCCCTCATCTACCCACAATCCCAGGAAGCTGCAGGTCTGCTTTTTATTGATAATCATTTTTTTTTTTATAGTACTAAGTATTGAACCCTGGGCCACATGTGCTAGATAAGTGCTCTAACACTGAGCTACATTCACAGCTCTTGCTTTTTCTACAAATCTATAATTTGTCTTTTCTAAAAATTTTTCTGTACATGAAATAATGTAACTTGTAGTGTTCTGTGTCTGATTTTTTTTTTTTTTTTTAGTGAGCATGACGTTTTGAGGTTCAGCATTCTTACATGTTCTTAATGCTTCATTGCTTTTTATGGCTGAATAATATTCCACCCCATGGATGCACCACATTTTATTTACCCATTTCTCAGTTGGTGGACATTTGTTTTTTTCTACTTTTTGGCTGTTATGGAAAATGCTGCTCTGAATACTTGAAGATGAGGTTTTATGTGGACAAGTTTTTCCTTTTTCTTGGGTAGATGTCACTGAGTGGAATTGCTGTATTGTATGGTAAGCTTTTGTTTAACTTTTTTTTTTTTTTTTGATACTGGGGATCAAACTCAGGAACTTGCGCTTGCAAGGAATGCAGCAGAAGCACTGAGCTAAATCCCTGGCCTATTTAACTTTTTAATACATTCCTGCTGGCTTGAACCACTGGTGGTAAATGTCCCATGCTGCCCAGTGGGACAGTCAGGTATGTACCACTAGTGGTTCAGAGCCATACAAATTATGGCCCCATCACGAAGTTGTTAAAGACACTGCCTGCCTAATGGTTTCTCAGTTGGCCAGACCATTTTACAGTCCTACTAAGGTTTGAGGCTCAATTTCTCTGGATCCTCACCAAAGCTTATTAATTTTCTTTTGAAATGGGATCTTGCTAAGTTGCCCATGCTAGTCTTGAATTCTTTGACACAAATGATACTCTTGCCCCAGCCTCCTGAGTAGCTGGGAATACAGGCACATGGCACCATGCCCAGCTCTTTGTGTCTGTTTTGTTTTGATTTGGTATTTGGGTTTTTTTTGAGACAGGGTCTCACTGTGCTTTTCAGGCTGACCTTGAACTCACTGTAAAGCCCAGGCTGCTGTCAAATTTAACATCTTCCTCAAGCTTACCTAACCCTCCTCAGTGCCAGGGTTACAGGTGTGTACCTGAGCAAACAGTTCTTGCTAAATTGTAAGATTTCTTTATATATTATAGATACAAGTCCTTTATATACACGATTTGGAAATACTTTCTCTTTGTTCATTGGTTTTATTACTGTCATTTGAAACACAGACTTTAGATTTTGATGAAATCCAGTTTATCCGTAGCAACATAACTGTCTTCTTTCTCAAGAGTTGCATGTGCTGTAACATGCATGTGTAAATTACCCTACTTACTTTTTGTGAGGTTTTGGTGGGTTTTTTTTTTTTGGTTGGTTGGTTGGTTTTGTTTTTTGGTACTGGGAATCACACTCAGGACCTTGCGCGCTTTGGAGGCAGATTCCTGGCCCCTTTTTGTGAGTTTGATATTAAGGTTTTATCCACTATCTTATCAGTTTTCTACTAAAGACCTATAACAGATGGGAAAGCCCATCCAAATGGGTGGTGTGGGTTTACACTTTGCATTAAAAAATCCTAGGTATTTGATGGGACGATCCCTAAAAGTTAAAACTCCTAATCTTCCCACTCAACTGTGGCTTTTGACATTGAGAGCCAAGAACTTTCTGTGATTCAGGATCCTTTGCTCATTGATACCGCCTTCCCAGGATGCCACCTTTCTTCTTCTTGGAGCTATTTATAGTGGCTTTGGTGGCCACCTCTGCCTCTTTTATTGGAGGAATCAGTGGCTCTTACTTCCCCTCTATACCTTTCAAGTGAGCTGCTGTGTGGCAAAGGGTCCAGTGCACAGAGTACCCTAACTTGAAGGCCATGAGTAACATGTTCTTGTTTGGCACTTGCAGGTGACGGACTTGACTCAGTACTTAGACCCCAGTGGGCTCGGCGTGATCAATTTTGAAGACTTCTGCCAAGGGATCTCAGCCATTAGAAATGGAGGTCAGTAGCCCCACGTCTCCTGCCCCTGCCCTTCCGGTGCTGCCCTGTGACCACTGCCCTCTTCCAACCCACTGCTTCTTGAATCCCTGAACACCAAAGCTTTGCCCTCTCCTTCCTGTCCTTTGCTCTCTACCCCTCATCTTCCAGATCAACAGAATCAACCATTAATGTATGATGTTAGGAAACCTCTATTCTTCATGATGAAAAATTTAAAAAATCACACAGTGAATGCCAACATATATATTTACACCCATATCCTATAGGCAGGAGTTTGCTGTGTCTGCTTTGTCTAACTCATTCATTTTTCTGTTTGTCCACCAATCCATCTTTTTAGTAGGATGTATCTCAAATCAGTATACTCCTGTGCACTTTGCCCTAAACACTTCACCCACACACCGATCATTATTTAGAGTTCAGTATTTATTTGTAGACTGTGCTTTGAGACAGGGTATTGCTGTGTAGTCCAGGCTGGTCTTGAACTTGCAGTGATCCTCCTGCCTCAGCCTCCCAAGTGCTGGAACTGTAAGTGTGGCCCACCACACCTGGCTGTAGGCTGTTTTTGAGGATAAATTTACCTACTGTGAGATGTAAGGACTTCAGGTATGCCAGTCTGAGTTCTGACACATTGCATTCAGCTCCTGTTGACTACGGCCCCCACCACAGTCCCCTCCCACCCTTGCCTTTCCATCATTCCCACCTTCCCATGGCAGCTTCTTTGCCCTTCCTTCCCTTGCTTTTTTCCTTTCCCTCTTTCCTTCCCTCTATCCCTCCCTTTCTTCCTCTTTTCTCTCTATTTCACTCTCTCTCTTTCTTCCTTCACAGTACACCCAAACCATTTTTAAAATTTTTTATTTTGAGATAGGGTCTCACTAAGTTGTCCAAACTGAGCTTAAACTTGTGACCCCCTTACCTCAGCCTCCCAGACTGCTAGGACTACAGGTGTGTGCCACTGTGTTTGACATGAATATGTGGTCTCTATGACCTTGATTCTTTGATAGTTGTTGAATTTGTGTAATAGCCTAGTGTGTCACCAGGCTGGGTCTGAGAGAGTCTCAAAGCTGAAATAAGGAATTTAACCCACCTCTTTTGTAGCAGATTTGCTGATGCCAATCATAGAAAAAGAATTTTCATGACTACTCAGTAAGAGAGCATGAGAAAGATTTATTAGATATTTAGGGTGGATTCAAGAATGGAATGCAGGCACTCAGAGAAATGAGACTCATTACAGTTTGGAACTAGGAGGGAGCATTTATACTTTTCTTAAGGCAGTGGAAAGCCTGGGAAAAGTAGCCCACCCTTTTTCCCAAAAAGGTACATATCCCATTCCACAGGCATGGGTGGTTTTCTTTTTTGGATAGGTGATTTAAACATTCTCTGGATTATCTCACCCTGCTGCTTACTTTTTTTTTCTTTTTAACTTTTTAATTTTTGTTTTTAAGACAGAGTCTTGCTGCATAGTTCAGGCAGGCCTCAAACTCGCTGTGTAGCCCAGACTGGCCTTGAAGTCATGGCAACCCTCCTGTCTTAGCCTCCCAAGTGCTGGGACTATAGACGTGTTCTACCATCCCTGACCTGCTTATTTTCTTAATTGTGCCAGTTTATGGCCTTTTAGTGATGAGTATGTTAGGGAAGAAGTGTAAATCTAACCAAAGGAATGTTGACATGAGTTGTCTTCATCTTAGGGGCAGGCTCCTGTTTCTTTTTTTTTTTTGGTACCAGGGATTGAACTCTGACCTTGCGCTTGTGAGGCAGGCAGCCGAACCACTGAGCTAAATACCTGGCCCAAGGCTCCTGTTTCTTACTTTCATAATTGAGCCAATTTGTGGCCTTGGGTAACTGCAGCTGAGTCCTGAAAGTTGCTATCTTCTTAAAACTACAATTTTTAGTTATGACTTCCCTGTTTCATTTGTACCTGTCTTTTATTCTATCAACCTTCATATTTGAAGGGATGCTGATTCTCTTCCTGTTGGGTACAAGGGTCTTGTGTGCACCAGCTCAAGACTCATTCATATCTGCTTGACCTCAATTGTAGGCAGGATATTGAGGATCCCAGTGATGGTGGTGGCATTGTCTGTTTGTGCTTTGTATAGGTTTATTTTATCTTCACTCATAAATGACAGATTGGCTCTGTATAGGTGTAAGTTGATGGTGGTATAGCTCTAACTCAGGCCCCCTAAACTGGCTGGTCTTTGAGAGGCCCTTCACAGCTCTTGCTGAGCATTTGGAATGGAAGTATGATGGGTGTTGAGGCCAAAGGCAGGGCACTAGGAGGTAATGACTGTTTCTAGGGAAAACAAACATGGAATGAGGAGATGTGCCTCTAGAATATGGCCCAAACCAGTAATGAGCATTGTTTTTCACAGTCATAGTAATTAAACTGAATATTTATATAACCAAAGATTGGTTTTACCATTTTGGATGATTTAGTTATTAATCCTATGAGTCTTTTGGTGGATTTTTAAAATGTCTTCTATATAGAGAATCATATCATCTGCAAATAATGATAATTTGACTTCTTTCTAATAATATCCTTTTTATTTTGGATTTGGGTAGTTGACTGCTCAGATATCTCTGCAGGTTCAAGGCTGGAAGGAGCGGTGACCCTGGGGAGCTATGGATGTGGGCAAGAAGGAGCCCCACACAGGAGAGGTCTGTGGGAGGCCTGTTCTCTCCCAGAGTCCACTCCTCTGCTATTGGGCGGATAGTTGGTCGGTTTTACTAGACCTCAGTTAATGAGAAATGGAGCACACTCTGTGCCTTTCTCTGGGGCTGCTTGGGTCTTGAAATGTAGTGACTCAAGGACCATGTAGATATTTATGTTTCTGGTGAGAGAGAAAGATCATCTGAGAATGGCCTGTTTCCTGAGTTCACCCTGGCCTGCTGAGGTAGGGCCTCCTTCACCTTGGCCTTCCCTTTGCCTAGGCTGGCAGCCACTGTGGTGGCCCTCTGGCCTTCCAAGGTGATCCTGGTAGGGGTCTCATGACCTTCTGCTCTAGAGGCAAGTGAGTTCTGGTCCCCATGAACTGGCCAGGGGTCTTCTTTCTCATCACAGGCTGCTCTCCTCCCTGCATCCCTCTAAAAGGAACCATCTCCTGGCCTCTTCTCTGAATGCACAGAGCCTGCTTACTACACCCAGCGCTGTCATCTCTCTGCACTTGTACTCTGCTTTTCCTCTCAGGAAACATTTCCTGTTGGCCAAATATTATAGCCCTGTCCTGCATGGCAGCAGGGTGAAGGTGAACTATGTTTCTCCAGAACTGAAAGGGAGCAGCCATATGCTGCTCAGAGCACCTGAGATAGGACAGCTGACAAAGGTCCTTGCACAGGCCCCTTCACTGCCCTTAACCCCGTGGGGTTGTTTTTAACCTCATTATTTTTCCATTCTTTTTTTTTGTAATATTACCATTTTGATTTAATTACAAACAAAAACATTCCAGTCTGTCCTGGAGTTAGCCTTGATGCTCCAGGGAGTGGTGCTGTGTTTCTTTAATGGCAAGATCATTCATGCATAGGAGCATCTTCAAGGTCTCAGCCTGATGACACAATGAAGTATGTTGCAGGAGGTAGTCCACTCCCCTGAGTTTAGCCTGTGCAGAACAGACCCTGGGCCTAGAGGATGTTCTGCTAGTGGTGTTGAGGGATTACTCAGCCTGGACAGCAGGTGGAGTAGACCCTCCTAGTGGGGTCCTGGCCAGGTTGACCAAGGAAGGCTGCAGTAATGAGAGCCGGAATAGGGCCGGAGATTTAGCTCAGTGGTTTCGCCACCTGCTGTGCAAGTGGAAGGACCCAAGATCGATCCCCGGTACCCAAAAAAAAAAAAAGACATGAGAGCCAGAATTTAGGTAAGGTAGAGGTGACTGAGCATAGCCAAGACCTATAAGGACCATGGACATGTGGAGGACATGTGGAGGTTGTGTGGATGCTGTTGAGCCAGACTGTCTGGGTTTTGGGGACACACACGAAAGAAGTTCAGATCCCTGTGCTCTTGGGAATTGGCTATAAAGGATAAGGCTGTAGATAGGGAGGCAGCATCCAGGAAGGCGTATCTTGACATAAGCCTGTGCCTAATACTTTTGGGGGCTGTCAGGGAGCAGAGTTAGAAGGTAGGTTTGGGCAGTGGCAGTATAGCTGGACTGAGGGTGCCATGAGAAGACTTGGCCTTTTCTGTGAGAGAACAGTCCTAATTTCAGCCCAGCTTCAGGCTTGCTTGTGAAGATGCTACTTGGTGTGGGCCCCAAGCCTTATTGTGGCTCATCAGCCCATCTCTTGGAGCTCCCATGGGCTCGGGGAGGAAGTGCTAGTAGGAGTCAGACAGGGGCACTTACTTACCTTACTGTGTGGTAGACTTGCTACCACTGGGGCTGGGAGCAGTGGCTTTGCTGTTCAGTTATGTAGTTTTGAGACTATTTACATTTCATTAGTAAGGGAAAATGAAAGCATGTCAGAGATGATTTTGAGGTTATTTCATAGCATTTAGAAGGAGGCCTGAATTACAGAGCAAGACCCTGTCTCAAAAAAAAAATAGAAGAAAGGAAGCAAAAAAGAAAAAATAATAAAGAAAGGAAAGCATCATTACCTGGACTGCATTTTTACTGATGTTCACTTCAGGTCTTACCTGCTGTGTGCCTTGTAGCTGCAGACAGCCTGTCTCATCTGTTGTATGTCAGGGAGCAGCATAGTAAATGACACGGTGGATTGACCTAGTTTACAGGGGAGTGCAAGGAGACTTCTGTCACAGTCACAGGCCTTATTTCAGGAATAGAATGAGATAGAGATGAAATTGTTACAAATAGTTCATTGCTTTGCCTCATCCCGTCAGGCTCTGGAAGAATAAGATAAATACACATTTAAAAATTCCACCAATTAAAAACTGTTTTAGTTCTTATAGAGAAAGGTGATAGAAGACTCTTGTTTATTTTCCATCAAGAATACAGGCACAGAAGCTCTGTTCATACTTCCCTTCTTGGACTACAGAGAGCAACTCTTACATCACTTGCCCATAGTCAAAATCTGAGCCACATCCACGTGTCTGAAAGGGTTGGCTGTGTTAAAGCTTTGAGTTCTGAGTTTCAGCTTTGGAAGTGCAAGTAACATGTTAGTGGAAAAACCTTCCAGAAATAGTTTAGGAGCTGGGTATTTAGCTCAGTGGTTCCACCGCCTGCCTCAAAAGCGCAAGGTCCTGAGTTAAAGAATCTTCCAGAAATAGTTTAGCCTTTTATGAAATGTGCTTAGTCTGACTGCTCTGGGATGACAGATCCTCTTGTGCTCTAGAATCCTAAGGTTCTATCTATCCCTGGCAGTACCCATCCTTCATTTAAAAAGTATGTGTGCCTCTGCCTGAGGGATCAGGAGAGGCCAGGCTCCAGATTCCTTCATTCTCAGCCATGGCCCAGATGGACAACACAGTCAGCATGCTCCTGGGAATACTGCAGCCAGCTCTTCAAAAGACATACGAGAGGAGAGCAATATTGAGTTACTATGCATATCAATGTTTGAGTTTGCATAATTGTCAGGGGAAGCTATTAGTCCATATAAAATGAGAGAAACCTAGAACTTAATGGAGTGGCCATGGGTCCTTTCTACTCTCTGGAGAGGGTTCCTGGGACACCTGTCCTCCCTTTGCCAGTTACCCAGGTCTGGTGGTCACCAACCCTCTGAACCTGCTACAGCATGGTGGTAGGACAGGGCTTTCCTCGGATGGTCTAGATCCCACAGGAATGTGCTCTGGACCTCCTCTGGCCCAGCTAGAGGAGGCTCATGTGACTATTTCAAAATGCTTTTCCCAAGAGCATCTGGTGAAGGCTGCCATTTCACTTGGTCCACAGATTCTAGACTACTTTTTAGCTAAGTGGCTTATGTTAGAGTTTGTTAAAAGATACTGAATAAGTGGCTAGTGTAAGTACATGTACATGTAAGTACATGTAAGTACTGTACTTGAATTAGTAGTGGGGCATTCCTTGTATGTCCCTTGCCATATATTTTCTTTTTTTTCCCCTCCCTACTGGGAATAGAACTTAGGACCTTGCGCTTGCAAGGCATGTGCGGTGCCACTGAGCTAAATTCCCAGCCCCCTTGCCATGTATTTTCTGCTTCTGAACATTGAGAGGCTATAGAGGTTGGTCCTTTTTCCCCACAGTAGATGGGCAGGGGTAGGGCGTCAGTATATACCAGAAACAGTGTGTTTTCCTCTGACATTAGAATTTGGCCATTCATCATAAAGAGATAGTGCTTCTTTTCAGTTTTCTGTTGATGTGAAAGAAAACATGAACGAGATGGTTAAGCAGAAAGAGGAAAATCAAGACTGCTCATGAATCTGGTGCCAGCACAAGGTGTTTCAGTGTTTCATCGTGCCCATAACTCCCTAAATATGAGTGGTCTCAGCAGTTGAGTCTGGATTTGTAGCTGGCAGTTCTTACAGGCTGTGAATTTTTAGAGAGCTTGATATTTTGCTCATTTTCTTCATGATGCTCTATGGTTCTTTTTCTTTTTTTGTACTGGGGATCAAACTCAGGTCCTTGTGCTTGTGCAGCAGGTGGCAAAACCATGGAGCTAAATCCCTGGCCCTGTTTTTGTTTTTTAAGACAGGGTTTCGTTGTGTAGTTCAGGCTGGCCTTGAACTCCTGGTGATCCTCCTGCCCTCAGCATCCCAAGTGCTGGGATTACAGGCACGTATCAAGATGCCCAGCTTTGTATGGTTCTTTTAGGAAATAAAAATCATGTCATTCTACCAACACACAATCTCCTCAGCATTCTAGTAGGGGAGTTCTGTGGTGTGGCCTTTGTGCCTCACTTTGCTGGGCACTTTAGCCTGGTTTCTCACAGTTGGCTGAGTGCACTTATTCCCTCCCTACTTGCAGTGACTCCCTTAGCCTTAGGTGTTTTTCCTAGGAGCCCTGCCATTTACCTGCACTCTCACCTACCTCCTTGGATGCCCTGCTGAATGCTGGTCTTCTCTTCACAGATCCGGATGGCCAGTTGTACAGCATGCCACCTGCCCAGGATGAGGAGCCTCCCACCTGCACTGATGAGTTTGATGACTTTGTCACCTACGAGGCAAGTCTGGATGCTCCCCATCTTCCTCTGTGTGCTATACATCTTTTTTTTTTGGTACCGGTGATCGAACTCGGGTCCTTGTGCTTGCGCAGCAGGCGGCGAAACCACTGAGCTAAATCCCCAGCCCCTGTGTGCTATACATCTTGCTTCCTGAGCCTCCTGTTGCAGTTTTTGGAGATGGTGTGAAGAGAAGGGGGGCTAGTTAGGGGTCTCTGGGGATTCTTGGCTGTAGCAGGAGGTCAGTGTCTGTTTCACATGGAGCTCTCAGGGAGGGTGGGCTGTGTGTAGGAGTCCTCCCTGGAGGCCTGTCATAGAGCAGAGCACAGGTGGGTGATGGGGCTGTAGGTGATATTTCTGTCACCTGCCGGGCAAGGGCAGAGGAGAAGGCTAATGAGGTTTCTTTTTATGGAAACTCAGGTGGTTTTCTGTGTTGCGGGATATTTGATTAATTCTTGCCTCTCTATACTCCATCCCTTGCTCCCACATGCAGCCAGGGTTGTCATGGTAATGTGATGTCTTCTTTGTGAGTCTCTTGTCACTGTAGCTGAGCAGAAGGTCACAGTCAAGGAAAACAGGCCAGTCACTGTACCCTGCAGATTAGACCAAGTCCAGGGGCCTGGGGGCCAAGTGACTGGATCTGGATTGTTTTCTTTTTTTTTTTTTTTTGGTACCGGAAATCAAACTCAGGTGCACTTGTGAGGCAGGTGCGGGCCACTGAGCTAAATCCCTGGTCTTGAATTTTCTTTATGAAATTTGTGGAGCCTGTAGTCTCAGCTACTCAAGAAGTCAGCTGCGGCCAGTCTTCTATTGCCCGCTCTTTGGTCACATGAGGGTTATATCCAGTGGTGTCCAGGTAGCTTCTGAGGTGCAGTAGCCAAGAGGGTCAGGGTTGCCTCTGCTGACCTTTGTGCCTCTTTTCCTTGCTCTGGGAAGCTGCTTGAGCTGTTGTCATCCTCAGGTAGCCAGATTTACTTCCTGGCTTCCTGTTGCTTTGGCCTACAAAGACCTCAGCGGTCTGAGAGCCATCACTCTTCCCAGCTTTGTCACAAAGAACAAAGAGGGCTAGAGTCCTGCTTTGTGTCCCCATTTGGACTCTACCTGGGTTGTTCATCCTCCCTGTGCCTGGTGAGTTTCAGAGTGGGGCAGGAAGGCACATCAGGTTTTCAGATTCTGATTTTTTTTGGTACCAGGGATTGAACTTAGGTCCTACACTTTCGAGGCAGGCAGCTGAACTATTGAGCTAAATCCCCGGCCCTGATTCTGATTTCTTTTTTAGAGTGGAGGAAACCTTTTCTAAATTTTTATTACTTTTTTTTTTTTGGTTTTTTCAAGACAGTCTCACTGTGTAACTGGCCTTGAACTCACTATGTAGCCCAGGCTGGCCTCGAACTTGCAGTGATCCTCCTGCCTCAGCCTCCTGAGTGCTGGGATTATAGGTATGTGCCACTATGACCCACTTTTATTACCTATTTTTAACAGTTTGCTTTTTGGTTTTTTTGGTACTGGGGATTGAACTCAGGACCTTGTGGCCCCACTGAGCTAAATCCCCAGCCCTTTTATTACCTATTTTTAAAAAATTAATGTATTTTATATTTTGGAGAAGTTTTAAGTTTACAGAAAATGGAACAGATATTTCAGAGAGTTCCTCCACCCAGTTCTCCTGTTTATGAATACCTTGCACTGCCAGGGAGTGGGTTTGTGGCTGTTGGCACAGGAGTGCTGCATTTTGACCAGAATCCACAATGGCCCTGGGTTTCCCTCCAGAGATGTGATTCTATGGTTTTCACAGGTATGAGATATGTGTCAGCACCACGACAGCCTCACAGACTGCAGCTTTCCTGCTCCAGAAGTCCCCTGTGCTCCGCCATCCAGCCCTGAAGCTCCTGCTCTTTTTCCAAGTCCATGGCTCTGCCTTTCCAGAGTCATAGAGTTGAAATCAAACAGGATGTCTCCTTCTCAGACTGAGTTCTGTTTTACAGATTTTAAATTTCCTCCATTCTTGCTTTTTTTTTTTTTTAAAGGTTTGTAAGTATAATTTCAGGAGGATGTAACTAGATATTACTGTGAAACTTACAGAAGAATGAAAATTGCTCTTTAAAAAAAAAGTTTACTCGGGCCGGGGATTTAGCTCAGTGGTTCTGTCGCCTGTCTCACAAGCACAAGGACCCGAGTTTGATCCCTGGTACCAAAAAAAAAAAAAGTTTACTCATCATGGTTTTGGATTTTTTGTTTATTTTGTTTTGTTTTTGTTTTCTGAGACAGGGTCTTGCTATGTAGTCTAGGGTTGCTTTGAACTCACTGTGTAGGGCTGGGGATTTAGCTCAGTCGTTCTGCTGCCTGCCTTCCAACCACAAGGACCCAAGTTTGATCTCCAGTACCCCCCTCTAAAAAAAGTTCCATGAACTCACTATGTAGCCCAGATTGGCCTCAAACTCACAGCAGTCCTCCTGCTTCAGCCTCCTAAGTGCTGGGATTACAGGTGTAGACCATCACACCCGGCCACATTATGTAATTTTAAAAGGTCTAGCATACTTGTGAGTGGAGAACATGTGCCACATCCAGATATATTCAGAGCCTTTTTACTGGTGATCTTTGGAGACAAATGAACCTTTTCTTGATTTCCTGAAAATTGTTTGGTCAGACCCCTTTTTTTCTGTCTGGGAACATTCTTCAGATGCTATGTGGGTCAGGGGTTCATGTGTGGTTAATTACTGATGAGCTGCAGCTTCCTGCGGAGGACGGGTCTTGACTCTTGCCACTCTGAAGACTCTATGAGCTTGTGACTTGCCATAGGAGAAGGTTGCTGATGTGTCTCAAGTTAGATGAGGAAAAGCTAGGGGCTGATTTCAGGTCTGCCACAGGCTTTCACAGGAATGGTCATGGGAAGAAAGCTCCTAAGAATCTTAGAGGTGGGGGAAGGATGGGTATACAGGGTAGAGCCCTTTATCTGGAGCTCTGAGGAGCAATGGGGAGGCCACCAAGGCCAGGCCAGAGCCAGAGCAACATGGGCTTGCTGTGTGTGTTCCTCCTCCGCCAGTGCTGAGTTGGTAGAAAAGGTGGTCTTAGTGAAATGGTAGGAAATGTATCTTGTACAAACTGTGATCAGAAAGTTACAAAGTATAAAACAAAAGCCACTCTGTTTTGAGCCTTGTTTGTTAAAACTATCAAGGACATTTCCTGAACTTTGCTTCTCCCTCCTTGAGCAGCTTCACTGGGAGGTGTAATAGAGCATATCTAGGAGCAAGTTAAACTTTCTCTAAAGCTGAGATGCCTTCTGGTGGGCCACAGTTTTGGAAGAAACTCCAGTACAACTAGCAAATGGGGAGGTAACAACATCAGTTGAAAGAACCCAGTGACTTGGTTTGGATGGAGATAGGATGGGTTGGCTATTCCCAGCAGTGGACCCGTCCTGGAGCGCGTGTGCAGAGACAGGCCCATGAGACTCCCAAGAGCATTGAGGGTAAGAAGAAACGCTAGTGTGTACTGTCCCCAGAACTCGGTTTCAGAGGAAATGACCTTAGCATGGTGGCGCATGCCTATAATTCCATCACTCTGGGAAACTGAAGCAGGAAAATCCCAAGTTTCAGCCCAGCCTGGGCAACTTAGTGAGACCCTGTATCAAAATTTAAAAAATGGGGGGTGCAGGTACTGGGAATTGAACTCAGGACCTTGTGCTTGCCAGGCAGGTGAGGTACCACTGAGCTAAATGCCTGGCCCCTCAAGATAAAAAAAAAAATTAGGGCTGGGGATTTAGCTCAGTGGTTCCACCATCTGTGTTGCAAGCTCAAGGTCTCGAGTTCAATCCCCGGTACAAAAAAAAAAATTTTCTTAAAGGGGTGGGGATGTAGCTTAGTGCAAAGACCATGGGTTCAACCCTTAGCCTATTAAATAAATAAATAAATAAATAAATAAATAAATAAATAAATGGCACCATGACCTGGACAGTGGGTACTGCTGGGCAGTGTTGGGCCCACTTGACATCCTTTGTTAACTGGTGAATGTAACCTTAACATACTGTGAAGTTTTCTGAGATGCATGTTGGTTTTCTTGTGAGTTCATTTTAACACTGGTGATTGGTAAAGATTGTAGAAGTTGGTAGCATATGTATCTCCAACCTGCTTTATTCAGTCTTTGTTCAGAAAATTTCAAGCATGTCAAGAGTAGAGAGAAGAGTATGATCTGTCTTGCATGTTGATTGCTTTTGTTTCCAGTGCTGAGGGTTGAACCCAGTGCCTACCGCTTTCTAGACAAGGTGCTGTACCTCTAAGCTACACCTCTAGCCTCCTTGATTGCTTTTAATAACTTCCACATTTCTGGGCACTTCTTGTTGATTACCACCAAATTCATACATACAAAATTAAAATTTCTTTCCCTTACCCTTAACTGTTGATAAAACTTGTGTGTGTTTGCATACCAGGTAAGTACTCTACTACTGAGCTACACCGCAGCTCTACAAAGCTTTCTACTAGGTCCAGGAGACAATGCAATGGAAACCTTGTGGTGATAGCAGTCTGGTTTGGAGGACCAAATACATAGCAGGTAATTTAAGAGTAGTAGAATCAAGCTTGGCATAGTGGCACATCCTTATAATCCCAGCACTTTGTGAGGCTGAGGCAGGAGGATCACAAGTTCAAGCTCAGGCTGGGGAAGAGATCCTATGTCAAAATAAAAAATTGAAAAAGGGCTTGGAATGTAGTTTGATCCAAAGGCCCTGGATTCAATTCTCAGTACTTAAAAACAAAAACACTAGCAGAGTCACTGAAGAACCATAAAGATCACTTCTGCATGCTCTTAACTGACAGGGAGGAGGGGGCTTTGGGAAGGTATTGTCTAAAATCATACAGCCATACAGCCAGTTAATAGTAGAGTTGGAACTAGAACCTTGTTTCCTAATTCCTAGTGCCATGCTCTTTCTGCTGTTACTAGTAACATTTACATCACCAAACAGAAGTTACAAGAATATAGAACATAGAAAATGTGTAAGTCATTGAGAGTTTATG